CCATATTTCGAAATTTATTTTTTCGCTCCCCCCGACTCGAGACGCCCTGGGCCTTGATGACAGATTTATTTATAGACGGCCTGACCTTTGCGGTATCAGTATCCTATAGGTCCTAAACGAGACCTTAGTATACCTCGAGTTTCGAAAAGAGAGATAACGGCCAATATGGTTTTCCCACTGCAGGAAAAATGAAGGACGAGAAGTGGTTGCTACGAGGAGCGTCATGTCAATCCGAGACTCACAATCGTACGATTACATTTGTGGCTGGTAGTCTAAGCGAGGTTCTTGTCGCTCGTAACAAGACTATCGTTGCAAAGACTATCCGCACCAGGGTGTAAGGACTACTATGCAGTATAGCCTGGGCGTTAATGCCTAGTCGAGGCTAACAAGGGGCAAAATCCTCTAAACCCATGCCTCCATTTCTCTTCACAAAATAAAAAGACGTGACGCACTCAACGATGTGTAGGCCCGGTAACTAGCATTTTTTGTTATCTTTCATCTAATCGTACATCCTTTTGTGGGAATCATTTTCATGTAAATACAGTTATATGAAGTAACATTCCATTTTAGTAACGTAAGAACTTTCCACTTCTTCATACCCTAGTTCTTTAACACGGAATGTATATTTTTTCACTTAATAAGACGTACTATTACAGTAGGTATGAACGTTATAAGTAGTATTATATGACACGTTTTAATCTAATCCATCATATAACAGTAATAAGTGACAATCACACTGTTGTGTAATGCCCACAATTTTTGCAAAACATTATGTGAAACGTACAAAATAAAAGACGCATGGAAGTTTGGACGAAATACGAATTCACCATATTTATTTGTGACGTTATAATTCGCACTGGTGAATTAGACACCATCGTCGGTCATTATTGGACTCATTTTTCCATACTTAACGAGGCGTTTTAGAAATTATGTGATGGATAGATGGTGCCTCGCGAGGAATTAGTCAGTAATAGGGAAGTCGAGGCCTAGCACAGTAGGGCCCACTCGACAAATTGTTTATCCTTTAACTTAACAATAACTAGTTTCCTGTTACGTCGTCCTTTTCCGGTTCCACTAGTCTGTGTAAAGTACGTCGCTACACTGCCTCCGCACGAAAGCACAGTGTGGTTACGTGGTTCCCTTACATTTTGTCATCTGAGCAATACTCTTATTACAATAATTCGTAGGTCTTCAACACCAAAAGGAGTTTCGAAACAATTGTAGGATTAGTTTATACGGGAATCTCGAGTATGGGGCTATTATGGCTACTGGGTGCTCGATTAATGGAACCAGGGTAGGACCCCGGGAATGAAGACTCACTAACTCAATAATAAGAATATTTAGTAAGAAGGGAAGATGTAAAACCATGGATTACCCTACACAGAGAATTAAAGATGTGTCAGGATGAATTAGTGTAACTGCCCTAATTATTTTCTCTGATAAACAGTATGTAGATATTCTCAGTATTGCGTACAAGGGACCGGAGGCCACGTTTTTGTTTAGTAATGTTTTTGACGTCGTTCTAATGTGCGTTAGTATAGTGTCTTTACGTTGTTATGGCCTATAATTGTCGTCATATACTTCAGTTAACGGAAAGTAGAACATATGTTTAGAGGCAAATACACAGGTGATTCAGGGAGATATTGAGCACAAAATTCTTATATCCTATGCCCTATTAAATAACAGTTACTGTTAATATGCATTTCCGTCCGACGTTGATGTTTCGTAACGTAAGTCCCAAGGGGGGGTCACCGTTTGTTTCCTTACTCGTATTCAACGTTACGATGCATTTAATATATATGCTTGTTTTTATATGTTAGTTGTGAAAAACAAACGAGGGTAAAGAAGTACTCTACTAGTTCTCTAGATTTGGTAAAAGATATAGGTGTTGTGTGGTAAAGAGAGAGTATTATTAAGGCAAAGTGTTTAGCTTTTTTAGACCACTATTACCTCGTGAAGAGGGAACGGTCTCTTTTGGTAGGGTGGAGTTGTCACACTCGTATGTTTCTACGACTATATCTGTCGTCAGCTATAACGTGTCCACACGGGAATCCGACCGGTGTATTTTCCTGTGGTGAACCTTTGTACGTAAGAAACGAAATTAACCCCCCGACCCCCCAGGCTTTTGGTCCAGTCATATGACCACACTCCCATCCTAATCCATACCAATCCCATCCCATTAACACTAAGCTCACCGGACAACAAGCACAGGTAGGTTGTCATGCGGACGGGTAGTGGTATATGGTGGTCGTGTAAGCGCCGGGTGAGCAAGTGCTTGAATGGGAGGATTCTGATCGTGGGATTAGGACTTGGGAGGTTGTGGTCTATGTCTGCCAAGCCTGGGGGGGGGTTCGGGCGGGGGTTATTTCGTTTTTACGTACAATTTCCCACCGAAAAATACACCGATCCCAATCCCGAGTCCCAAAGGACTGGAAAAGGGAGTGTAGGTCCTAAGGTGGCTGTCAGTTGTATTGAAGAGAGAGGAGGTAGTGTTGTTTAGAAACAGGAACTGAAATAGAGGGATATGAGGCATGGCTAGAATGGGTGATCTGTTTGGTATTTTGAACAAAACACTTCATAGACATGTTTTTATATATTTGTATATATCTGAGACCTATTGCCTAAAAATAACAAGATAGGTGACCTTTAAGTAAAGGATCTTAATACTTCTCCTACCACTTATCGTAATGCAGTAATTTAATATATATTATTCTGGAATGGACCGTTAAGCATTTAGAGTACTTTAACTTTTGATACTTTCAGTATAAATTGATGCTGGTACGCGTGCTCTTCTACATCATTTTGAACGCAGGACTTTTATCATTGAATATTGCAACCTTTACTTCTTCAGAAACCACATTACTTCTTCCAAACCTGCTTAGTTGTACCTTTTGTCTGTATTATTCCTGCTGTGTGACAATAAAGGATTTCTGATTTCTAAGCACTGACACACAAATGTTTCAAAGTCAAAAACTGAGCCACTATAGGTGACATAATCTAACATTTAAGAAGAATATGCATCCATGTGAAGCTGGTTTAACAAAAAGTAGCATGGTAGAAAGAGGCAGAAGCAGCAGGTTAAAGATGTGGGTACCGTTCTGTTGGTGCAGATGGGGGTGAAGGCGTTGGTCCCGCAGGTGAACAGCCGGTTCCCGTTCACCAGCAGCACCCTGATGTAATTCTGGCACTCCTCCTGTGGAAACACATCAGCACACAGTTAGCACACTAAACTCTAAATCACACTTCATGAGACAAACACCTGCAGCCTCAGAAGGAAACTCTGAAACGTGGGCGAGCCGGACAGAGTCAAATCAAAGCTAATGTCCTCACAGCTCAGCCACGTCACATCCTAATTCAACTGGGAGCAGGTCTGAAGCAGGTCTCAATGAAGGGAGATAAACGAAGCAGGCGTGGGATCGCTTCAGAAAACTGCCTTTGCTTTGTTGATTGGTCGGAAATGAGAGTCTCTCTTCATTAAAGCATGTTTGGTTTAAGCTTCTCTCGACATTAGTCCATTGAAACCACTCTTGTCTAAATGACTTATAGATACACTGAACAAAAATATAAATGCAACACTTTTGTTTTTGCTCCCATTTTTCATGAGATGAACTCAAAGATCTAAAACATTTTCTACATACACAAAATAACCATTTCTCTCAAATATTGTTCACGAATCTGAAAAGATCTGTGATAGTGAGCACTTCTCCTTTGCCGAGATAATCCATCCCACCTCACAGGTGTGGCATATCAAGATGCTGATTAGACAGCATGATTATTGCACAGGTGTGCCTTAGGCTGGCCACAATAAAAGGCCACTCTGAAACGTGCAGTTTTGCTTTATTGGGGGGGTCTGGGGGGGTCCGGTTTATGTTAGGTAACCCTAACATGTCACTCATTGAGCATGTTTGGGATGCTCTGGATCGGCGTATACGACAGCGTGTTCCAGTTCCTGCCAATATCCAGCAACTTGGCACAGCCATTGAAGAGGAGTGGACCAACATTCCACAGGCCACAATCAACAACCTGATCAACTCTATGCGAAGGAGATGGGTGACATGTTAGGGTTAGGGTTCAACCCTAGGGTTTTCGGACCCCCCCAGACCCCCCCAATAAAGCAAAACTGCACGTTTCAGAGTGGCCTTTTATTGTGGCCAGCCTAAGGCACACCTGTGCAATAATCATGCTGTCTAATCAGCATCTTGATATGCCACACCTGTGAGGTGGGATGGATTATCTCGGCAAAGGAGAAGTGCTCACTATCACAGATCTTTTCAGATTTGTGAACAATATTTGAGAGAAATGGTTATTTTGTGTTTATAGAAAATGTTTTAGATCTTTGAGTTCATCTCAAGAAAAATGGGAGCAAAAACAAAAGTGTTGCATTTATATTTTTGTTCAGTGTATATATCAATATTCCAATTACTTTAGACTATTCTGCAATTTATTGTATTTACTTTTTGATTGTGTTGCACTGTTGGAGGAGCCTGTGACCTAAGATTGTCATTGTCATAACTACACTGTAGATATACAATAAAAGCCTTGAAGCCTTGATTGGTCAGAAATGAGAGTCCCTCTTCATTAAAGCATGTTCGGTTATAAGCTTCTCTCCACATTACTACATTGCCTAAATTACGTTGAAGTACACTTTCTTTTGGGCTTGCTCCTCTGAGGTTTAGGCTTGAGCTTTGAGAAAAAACTTCTCAGCACTTGGCTAAAAGCGTGCGAGAATAAAGCGTGACGGATGATGGATTGATCGAATGATTGACGGCCGCTAAACATTGTGAACTTTTGCCTTTCATGCAAGCTTACCGCTGAAATCCATCAACGGAACAACAGCCGTCAGATTTCAAGTCAAATAGCGGTGTTTGTTTTGTGCTGGGATGAAGGTGATAAACTCATAGAGTCCCCTCTGTCTGAAAGGAGTTGGGACCCCTCGTGGAAATTTAAAAACCTTGTAAATCTCAAAGTGTCCGAGCCACTTGAGGTGCCCGGGGTGACACCTCCTCCCCTTCCCCCCCCTTCCTCTCCAGGGTCTGATTTAGGGCACTGTAGGAGAGATGGAGAGGAAGGAGGTTTTTATTTCCCCCTATCAAGATGAAGGTGACTCATAAAACAACTTGTTTGTGGTGCTAAGCACAGCCTAAGTGTGTGTGTGTATGCGTTTGTGTGTGTGTAAAACTCGCCCATATATCTGTGTGATTACACTGTGCAGGATTGAGAGGAGGGGAGGGGGTGCATAATTCAATTCTCCGCTGCAGTTTGTTTCCAAGGTAAATAAGGGAATATGTAATATTTGCACAGCCTAACAGTCTTGACTTGTTTACGAAAACTTCCTGACAAATGTTCCCCGTCTGCACTCCAATACCGAGGCTGCTCGCATTATAAAACAAAACAGAAACAGCAATCAAGTCCTGTCAAGTCAATTTAACTCTGCTCTCTTCTCCCGGTTGAGATAAATCAAATACACAAGAGAAGAGTGGATGCGTGCATTAGGGAAGATAAAAAAGAAAAGACAATCACTTGTAAATGTACTCAAAGCACGGTATCTGTGTAATAGCTTAAGCGATGGTATATTGCTGCGCTGAGCGAGGTATTAAGCATCAAAAAGCCCAGCCCAGTCTTTTAATGCTATTCTGCGTCACAGAGCTGATCCTCCGAAGAGAACAGGGAGGAACACAATCTGTGAGGCAGCAGCGACTCTCCAGGACTGACGGAGCTTCGGTCTGTAATTCACTTCAGCTTTCTGAGGCTGGCCGGCCCCTGCGTGCCTATTACTATATAGCGGTGCACACACACACACACACACACACACACACACACACACACACACACACACACACACACACACACACACACACACACACACACACACACACACACACACACAGGCCAGTTCACCTACAAGTCAAGTTCATACTCGAGCCCAGCTGTTTGCAGAGTATGCCAGCTAACCACACACAAAAACACACAGCTCTGCACCAAAAAGAAAAAACAATAGGAACTCCCTTTTTTGCGAGGCTTGTAAATAGGATTCAAGCTTTTCACTTCATAACAAGTTGATAAAGATCCTTTAGTTGGATAATCCCACATATAAATAAGCGCTTCATTTCAGACTTCAAAAAGTTTCATCAACACTTGGCTTTTTATTTCTCTGGGCTATTTGATGTGTTCTCTGGAGCTGATTCAACACTGCCTGTAAAATGATGAGAGTTCTGTGATATCTGTCTTTAAAAATTAATTCTCTCTATAGCCTCTCTATTCACAGATGCTGCTGGGAAAGTCGGACATCTGTAGCCTTCAGTTCTTCTGTCAGACTGCGTATTTGTATAGATAACCAAACCCACAGGAAAACGTTGAACAGTCATTCCCTGTTTTGAAGGCTGCGGCTTTGAAGTTTAGAAAAGTATTCAGCAGTAATCAAGGTTTCATTTCTAGTTACCAAGTTCTGTTTGTTTGTCAGCCGGATTAAGGAAATAACAGCTGGCTTGATTTCTTTTAAACTAAGTCTTTGAGTGAAGCATGGGCCAAGGAAGAAACCATATCATTTTGAAGAGGATCCAAATTATGGGGCAGATACAAAAAAAAAGTTTTCCCACTCAGGTCTGCACTCTCCTAGGGATATATTGTACATCTAAAAAAGTATTAATTTATGATAAAATATCTGCAAAACGAACCACAATGTCACCATCAGCCTCCACCGTACGAGGTGAAAATGATATCCAAACAATTTAACGGGATTATTCTGAGCATATTAGCATGTTGAGGTTAGCATTTAGCTCAAAACACCACGGTGCTTTAGTACAGGATCACAGAGCTGCTAGCATTGGGTTTAGCATTTGAGATACATTAGCATTTACCAGACATAAATGAAATATTAATCTAAAAGATGCCATTGAGTTACTTTATGGCAAGTGTAGTTTGTAACATATCAACAAAGTGAATTGAATACTTTATTGCTGGAATATCCATTTCATTTTCTTTATTGAAACCAAGCTAGCTGCAGAGTTGCAACCGTGTTTGATAACGGTAACACATTATGAAATGACATTTAAATACATCTAAAAAAATATTCAAAGAGGTGTAAGATATGAATAGTTATTTGATTTAATTAAACAGATAAGTCTTGATTTGTGAGCGTGGTAGCAGACTTGCAGTATCTCTGCGATGACGCACACCTTTGACTGAGGACGAGATGTTATTTGAACATTGAAATTTGTTTTTGGACGTACTGACAGGTGTCTGATAAAGCAATATAACAGCGTGGCACATTTGAAACATTACTTAAACTCACCTCAGACTTTCCCCGGCTGAAGCAGGCTCCCTTGGTGAACTCATCGCAGTGCCACTCAGCCTCCTGCGGACACACAGAGAGGGACAGTGTGGCGTTTAAAGAGAAGCACCAAACATGAACCACTTTAAAATCCTCTCAGGGAACCCAAACAAAACGATGTCTGGCTCTCAACACGGGCGACATTCCCTCCTTTTTAAAGTCAAATAGATTCCAGAGAAAGCAGAAGCAATAAAAATGTCAGAGAAGACAAGAAACCAGTCAAAAAGGACACTGATTTATGGAAGCTGATGATGTATTTATAGATGTGTTCATGACTTGAGAGGGGGGAATGGATTAAAACAGAAGCGAACAGTAAGTTATTTTGACATTTTCTCTTTCAATCCCTCATTTACATACTTACAGTAGGCACGTTTGTAAGCCGTTTTAAAAACAGACACAGAATCCAATTAAGGTGAAAAGCAAGCAGAGACCTGAATAACGAGTGACACGTTTGCACAGTTTGATTTATGCATGAGGGTGAAAGGAGGCATCTTCAAATCCCCAGAGGAGGATGTCAACGTGATTTACATGTGAGGGAGAAACAGAGGGACGGCTTTTACATTTTACAACAGCATGCGGGAGGAACGAGGAGATAAAACCTTCGACTGGTCTCCGGGGGTGAAGACACAATTTCTACCGTTTAATTTCATCGTGACCTGTGGGGTTTCTTTCTCATTGAAAAAAGTTCTCTATTCATGAAATGAGCGTTGGCCTCGGGGGTAGCACGGGAACACTAAGACACTCAGGTGTGTGACAGGAGGAATTAGACGTCACCGCCGACCAGCTGCACAGAATACTTAACAGGAGAATTGGCTGGTGCAATAATGTGCTTAACGCCAAGTCACGAAAAGTCCCGAAAAAGTTAGAAGATATTCAACTTGGACACAGAGTTTCATGCGGTCTTAACCTGGCTAGCTTCCAGGAGGGGGGGGGGGTAGAAACTCACCCTCAGAGGGGCTACAGTAAATATCGCCAACTGTCGGAGAATATTAGATTTCACCTTGGTATCCGGACTGTTTTATGTTTTCTTTCATTTCCTCTGTGAGAATCCTCTGGGAGTCTCCTCTCTGTGTTTTACGACAAGGCTTTTGCTTTACAACTCGCTGTATGTACCCCCCCCACCCACACACACACTCTCAGACAGACACACACTCTCAGACAGACACACACTCTCAGACACACTCTCAGACAGACAGACAGACAGACAGACAGACAGACAGACAGACAGACAGACAGACAGACAGAATCGACACTATACCTACCCAGTTTGGTTAGGCACTGTGCCAGGGCAGTGTGTTTTATACTTTAACCAGTGTCTTTTATGATAATAATATTTGAATTGTTACCGTTTCTCTGGACTACATTTTAATCAACCTATGGAAAAGAAACAATCCGTATAGTTGAGAGGAATTCCAGGATTTCAACATTAGTACCAGACTATCTCCGTATAGCAAGTTACATAAAAAACCCTTGAAAACGCAGTAATGAGGGTTTCACAAGGGTCAATGTATGTAATACTCATGTTATAATTAGTTACGGTTACCATTTACGCCTCTAATTCGTCCGTGACATTCGGTAATTAGTAGTAAATTGTCGACATATACCGAAGGAAAATGGGATGATCAACGAAAAGAGGTGTCTACTAATAGATATACCAGAAAAGTATTAAACGTGTCTATTGTCAAGGTACTACCTATAAAATAAAAAGAAAACCCTGTTAAGGGGTGGTACCAGGCGAGTGATTTAAACTTAGGACCAGGAGGAGTAGAAAGAAACAAAGGGGACACGAAGGAGTGTTAAAGGCATTGTCTTTTCGGCCCAGGAAAACCAATTACCGGCGTCCGGACTAAATTTACAATGAGTCACTATTACGGCACCTAATAATAAATTGCCGTCGGCGTAAGGTCTGGTATAAAGCCTAGTCCTGTTGTAGGTAGAATCCTCGTGTCACAGGACTTGTTTTTCGTAGAATTTACTCGAAAATTACAAAGGATTACTGTGGCGTGAAGACAAGAAAATGAGTCGTGGTAAACTCCGTCCCGGCAGGTCTATTTTTCCGAAATCATCAGGTTACTACGGTGTTATAGGGGGTGATTGACCGAGTCTGTCTGTAGGGGCACTACAGGATTTTTACATTTATGTGAGACTTTTAGACCGAAACTTTATAGAGTTTACCACTACTTAGCGGAACGTTACTATTTTAGTTGGTAAGACGTGCTAATTTCACTAGGTTTCAACATTAAAAACGTACCCATAATACTAACTAAAGGTGGGACTCGTACTTTACTCCTTCCCAAAGCCTGTTAATTGTCCTAAGAAAGAGCGGGGGAGAGGGGACGCTAATCGATTTCGTGAAAAATCGCCGATGTAACTTAAGTCGTCCCTGAGCGGCCCGACGACGACACGCTGAACACGACTACCACACCGAAAAAACTGACTGCCCAACGACTCTTATCGGGCGAAACCGGACCTTACACTTGACTGGTGTGTGTGTGTGTTGTGTGTGTGTGTGTGGTGTGTGTGTGTGTGTGTGTGTGTGTGTGTGTGTGTGTGTGTGTGTGTGCGTGTGTGTGGTGTGTGTGTGTGTGTGTGTGTTGTGTGTGTGTGTGTGTGTGTGTGCCTCTTCTCGTTCTCTCTTCGGTCGAGTGTAATTATGAGACATAGAATAGGAGGGACTTACCATCGGGTGAGGACTCGGAGAGAGAGACGATTCGACACCCACACACCACACACACACACACACACACACACACACACACACACACACACACCACACACACACACACACACACACACACACACACACACACACACACACACACACACACACACACACACACACACACCACACACACAACACACACACACACACACACACACACACACACAACACACACACACACACAGAC